GGCTGGAGGACCAGCAGGAGGGGTTGGGGAGGGGGAGAAGGTTCAGGTGGGCACAGAGGTTGGGTTGGGGTTGGGGTTTGGGGCAGAGGGACCAAGGGATTGTCCAGCACCTTGAATCTTGGGGTCTGGTCTGGGCAAGGAGGACATGGAGGGGTTGGAGAGTGTCCAGAGAAGGGTAATGGAGATGGGGAAGGGGCTGGAGGAGCAGGGGAAGGGGCTGGAGGAGCAGGGGAAGGGGCTGGAGGAGCAGGGGAAGGGGCTGGAGGAGCAGGGGAAGGGGCTGGAGGAGCAGGGGAAGGGGCTGGAGGAGCAGGGGAAGGGGCTGGAGGAGCAGGGGAAGGGGCTGGAGGAGCAGGGGAAGGGGCTGGAGGAGCAGGGGAAGGGGCTGGAGGACCAGCAGGAGGGGTGGGGAGGGGGAGAAGGTCCAGGTGGCCACAAAGGTTGGTGGCATCTGGGTTTGGGGAGATGGGAGTGTCCCCTGGGGGCTCCAGGGCTCCCCTGAGGTCCCACCAGGGAGGCAGGGACCAAAAAACCAGGGAGCCCCATCTCTCCCAGTCCAGCAGCAGGAGGATACTGGTGGAGCAGAGCCCTGCAGAGCTGCGAGGTGGGCATGAAGACCGTGTAGGTGAGGAGGAAATCCCCCAGCAGGGTGTCTGCAAGAGAGCCCAGACCATCCCCCCACCATCACCCCGTGCCCACCCAGAGGGTTGGGGACACGGGGGGGCACCAGCCACGAGGTCACCCTGTTCATCCTGGGTCACTTCTTTTGCTCCCAACCTTCCCCCCCCCCCAACCCAACCCTGGGAAGAGCTGGTGAAGGTTTGGGGGGGTGGATGGAGGAAAATCCCCCCAGGAACTTGGGGAGCAATGAACCCCATGGCTGATGGTTCCAGGTTGAGCATTTCCCATCTGTTGCCCACTGGGGACAACATCTCCTGGTTCTGCTCCTCTCCAGAGGCAGAAGGACCCAGGAGGGGAGATGGGTGGGGGGTTTTAGGGGGAGAGGAGCAGATTATTTGGGGGGGGGGAGGTTGAACACCCAGAACAAGGTGACCCCCACTCATCCATGCTCCTTCTCCCAGACCCCTGCCCACCTATAAGGACGTGGTCCCCGACACCAAAGGGGGTGGACCCCAACCCCAAGCCCACCTACCCACGGGGTCGTAGAGGGTGGCATCCAACCTCATGAACTCCAGCAGGTGCTCCAGGATCTTCTCAGGTGTCCCGGCCACCACAAAGTACCTGGTGGGCAGAGCAAACCAAGGGACGTGGCACCACAGCAGGTCCATCCCCAGGGCACCACAGCAGGTCCTGCCCTCCCCATCCCCAGGGCCAGCAGGAGGGAGGCAGAGAAGGGGCAGGCAAAGGGGTGGGGGTGGCTGCAAAAAGGGAAGGATGGGGACAAGCTGCTGTCACCTGCTGCTCCTGGTTGTGGCTGCCTGGTTGCTCCCACCCTGCAGGTTCTTCTGCAGCACCAGCACCACCTTCCCGTGCTCCTTCAGGCGCATCGTGTTGGCTTCTACATCCTAAAAACCCCCCAAAAAATAACACATCACCCTCGTAGGGGTGTCCTCCCCTTGCCTGGAGGGCTGCTGGGGGTCTGGGCCACCCCAAGCCCACCTTGAGGATGTGGTTGAAGTCCTGCTTGTCCACCCTCAAGAAGTGGCAGTTGCCCTCCCGCAGGATGATGGTGGCCGCCCGCGGCGCGTCGTTCACCAGGGCCAGCTGCCCAAAATCGTCCCCCTCGTGCAGAGTGGCCACCAAACCCTGGTGGGGTGGGTGGCAGGTGGGTGAGGGGACCCTCTGGGACCTCCCCCT